AATTTGTCTTATTTAAAAGGGGCCCCTTTATAAAGAAGATAAATGATGTTAGACATTATAAACTAACAAACAATAAGAGTATACTTTATTACAAAAACATCGGTGAACTAATCTAAAATCGTAACGGCAATTAACTAACAATACGGATATACTTTACTACAACAACATCGGTGAACTGACCTAATCGGTGGCGATCGGTAATCAACAAAAATCGACGAGTAAAACTTATTTATTCCATACATTATTGTTTAACAATAAGTAAGTGTTTAACAGTTTATTTAACGATAAGTACAACTCAATTGATTGACTGCTATTATAATAACAAGGGGGATGAAACAGCCCGATAAAATATTAGGTTGGGATGAAACAGCCCGGGGTGAAACGGTTGTGGGATGAACTGACCCGCATCCTATCGTTTTGACATCGATTGTTTATGACAAATAAATACCGTTAATTTTGCATGTAAAATTACACCCAGGCCTGTTATGCGTTACATATAAGCATGAAATGTATTTAGTAGGTTTTATTTGATCTTCAGCGAAAAAGGGTCGTCGTTCTATAATAATAAAAAGAAATAAAGAGTTCGAATTATTAGTTTATTTTCACGTTTTGTCTTACACAATAGAAATATTGTTAGCTTCTGACACATGTGTATTAATTCTACAAGCCTTCTGTGTTTACTGCCTGAGATAATCGCACTACCCTTCAACCCAAAATGCTTTCTATAGATCCCATATTATGTAATATATGATTGGTGCAATACCCATGCTGTTAGTCTTAATTGCGAAGACATTTAAACAAAAGGATTTAATCAGGGTAGGGAGTCGACGTGTACACACGTAAATCAGATGCGTAAGATTTATCATTCGTGGATGTGTTGTCAGTGTGGGAAATACTGTTTTAAATGGATATATAAATACACGTTTTATGATTGTGGACGAAACGGTATGTGCATCTCAAGAAAGCTTTGCTTCGGAACCGTCCCGTCGCCATTAAAAATCCAACATCTGTTTCACCGTAGTGATCTTGAAAAATAATCCCCGGATAATGACAGGCATTACAGATACCTGCCGTCGTATGAATCCTGAAAAATAATATTTCACCGTATCGCAACAGGTCAGTAATAAAATTAACACTTATTACAGTATTTCAACATTGTGCTGCAAAACTGAACGATTACCAACAACTAAACACATCGTAATATCTGAACATCGCACGTGAAATTAGATGTTTGACATCTAATTGGACACCTTGACTGATTTTAATCACGGCTCGGGAAATTGAACGGTCCAACTAATTATTGAACAGTCGTGCTAATTAGACGGGACGCTTATAATTCAACACGGGTCGAGAAACTAAACACTAGTTAATTAGACGCTTGGTAATCAAAATTAAACAGTGAGATTGAAATTCAATAGAAGTACAAATTGAGCACTATTCGCCGAAATTCAACAATATTTATGAATAATTGGCCACAGAGTAGAAATTAACACTATTTACGCTAGATTAAACGGTACCAATGTTACAGTGTAGATATCTCTAAGTCTAAGTTTAAAGAGAAACTATGTAAGAGCTAAACATTTATTCACATGACAAGCCTATAATCAACTCTCTCAGACCATCGGATGGCTTAGACTAGAGGATTGAAGGGATTAGAACACAGTGCCATTGACTAATTACCATGCCATGCAAGATACACTCACATTTTGCAAGAGATGGACAAAGAACAAGTTTAACAAGCCAACAGTGAGGCTGATGTCCCCCGCTGAAATCCCAAAATAAATAGATGACACATATTAATTAATCGCACATTTATTTTTTTCAAAAGTATCGAGCACTCAAACCATACACTAAGTTTCATCACTCCATCACTCTCTATCAGATAGAATCAAGATTACAGCACTGGTCAGACGGAAGTACTAAATTTCCCCGAAGTCCGACCTTGGTGGAAATGACAAATAGCGGACGTCAGGTAATCAATGCGCTCTGGCCGCGCTCAAAATTCCACTCTAAATTCCTCCACGAATTTGAGTAAACCCACAGACCTCCGCGATTATTTTAATCCACCGCGGAAATTAACATGAAAGATCCACTGCAAATTTAAAAAGTCAGACTTTCCAAGCATGTACAGTCAGCACCTCCATAGCTGACAAATATAACAAATATCAAACATTGGCAGGCTTTTAAATAATAAAATAAACAGAATTATGGCTGTACTGATACATTGCTTCATCAATATGTTCGACATTTTTAAGACTTGCATCGATCGACTTTTTCAAACTCATTCAAATTACGAAAATTTCAAAATTTACACACATAGATGCAGGTCTTACCGTGGGCGAAAGATTTGTCCATTGAAATAACCATTTCCATTCTGACAAATAAGTTACACAATGCATTTTAAATTGATAAATCACACCTGAAGTAATCTATATTCTGGTTTAAATCACAAATGAATTAAATGCGTGTGTGTGTGTGTGAGTTAGTTGTAATTTACTCTGCTTCCACCGAGGTGATATCGCAGACAAATAACATGTTATGTATACATGGTGCAGTATTTTACAATGTGATTAATGAAAAAAGGATTAAAGAATTATTAGATATTTATATATACAGTAGAACTTCTATTAAGCAAGCACCCAAGGGAAATTTAAAAATGCTTGCCTAATGGAGGTGCTCTTTGACTAGAGGTATCCAATATTGCCCCAACCCCTACCACAAAAAATAAAGATATAGATTGCATATATTTTTTTATTCATGTAGTATAACAATAACAATACATGTACTTTTTATCTAGTTGTGAATTCAAAGTAGTCGCGTATACATGTTTGTTTAGTAATACTGGATCTCTGCCACCCCCCCCCCCCCCCCTAATATTTCTTTTACTTTCATCATACTGAATCATAGCGTCTAAAGGCGTTTCAAAATGCCGTGAATTTGAGTATTTCCCACCACAACTATTATAGCGATTACGCGACCACTTAATAAAATCTTGGTGCTTTTTGTGCTGACATAAATTAATTACGCTTGGGTGCATTGGGAGCGAACATCAATACTTGCATCGATAAATTTGACCGTCGCTGAATCTTGCGCCGATCGAAAATTCTTTACTCAAATTTCGAACATAACTTCTGTAAACTTGTCATTTTGTACCAACCTTCGATACTACTGTCTACCATTGTGATGCATTCGATAATATTTATCCATTTTTGTGAAGAAAATCGATGAATTAATTTATTTTATCAAAAAAGCACATGAACAAAAAACCATCGCTGATTTTATCACCGATTTACAGAGGGGTGTAACTCTGTATGTAATATTATAGGGGACGCTAAAACGTCTGTTTAACAACAAAGTGGCAATGGAAAAGAGATACTAGATGATCGTGACAAAAATCGGTACTTTTATTTTATTCAATCAGTATCAAATAATGTGTCGTTACGCGTGAAAACAATGATCAGGTTAGTCGTTTAATAAAACAAAAGATTAATAAACAGATAATCCCGGGTTGATTGTTATTTTCACATTTCTTTTTACCTGATCAGTGGGGGTCCAGTTAATTAACTACTACTCACGGGATTAGCGGGAGTGTTACAAAGAAAGAATGACAAGATGGTATCATTCAACAATGGCCGTTGAATTTTGAATGGGCGATGTTTTGTTGAATTTATTAGTAAAATAGTGACCGCCGGCCGCGTTAGAGGAGTGACCGTTGAAACAGTTGAATTTTTACCGGGGGAATTAATCGTGATGCCCATTGCACGCGTTGAACAGGTGTGTGTTTAGTAGGGGTTAAATTACTTAAAAATCGCTTGGGGGGATTTTGTGGTGCTCGTTGAAGCAAGTGTTCGCTGATTAGGAGTGCACGCCCAAGCAAGTTCTACTGTATGTACAGAAGACAGAAAAAGACGGGAGGAAACGTTTTATGACAAGTGCACCAGCGGCTGCCAGGCAGGATACGCCCACATTTTCGAGAGATGGATAGAAAACAAGCTAAAACGAAAGTGATTTTTCCTACAATCAAGGGCCATAATTCAGGAAATTACAATTCGATATGCGCAAATATCGAAAGGAACCAAGATCTTTGAGTTATAAACTTACATTTCAAGTTTCAACAAAATCGGATAAAAATTGTGACCTCTATAGGGTCCACAACCTTGATATACCATATTTTTACACAATTTGAGAACGAGGGGCGGCCATTTTGTCCGTCCGTTTTGGGGCGATTTTCCTGAAATTCGAACTCAGTCGTCCTTAGGGTGTAACGGTGATATAATACATTTTTTTAAATCGGATAAAAATTATGACCTCTATAGGGTCCACAAGCTAAACACGGGATTTTTCGTACAATCAGGGGCCATAATTCAGTAATTTACGGTCCGATATGCACACATATCGAAAGGAACCAAGATCTTTGGGTTATAAACTTACATTTCAAGTTTCAACAAAATCGGATAAAAATTGTAACCTCTATAGGGTCCACAACCTTGATATACCATATTTTTATGCTATTTGAGAATGAAGGGCAGCCATTTTATCTGTCAGTTTTTGGCCGATTTTCATGAAATTCAAACTCAGTCGTCCTTAGGGTGTAACGGTGATATAATAATATGATTTTTTAAATCGGATAATAATTACAATCAGGGGCCATAATTCAGGAAGTTACAGTCCGATATGCGCGAATATCGAAAGGAACCGAGATCTTTGTGTTATAAAGTTACATTTCAAGTTTCAACAAAATCGGATAAAAATTGTGACCTCTATAGGGTCCACAACCTTGATATACCATATTTTTACGCTATTTGAGAACGAAGGGCGGCCATGTTGTCTGTCAGTTTTGGGCCGATTTTCACAAAATTCGAACTCAGCCGTCCTTAGGGTGTAACGGTGATATATTAACACGATTTTTTAAATCAGATAAAAATTATGACCTCTATTGGGTCCACAAGCCAAAAAATGCGTTTTTGCGTACAATCAGGGGCCATAATTCATGATGTTACGGTCCGATATGCGCGAATATCGAAAGGAACCGAGATCTTTGGGTTATAAACTTACATTTCAAGTTTCAACAAAATCGGATAAAAATTGTGACCTCTACAGTGTTCACAAGCCAAAAATGTGATTTTTCGTACAATCAGGGGCCATAATCCATGAAGTTACGGTCCGATAGATGCCAATATCGAAAGGAACCGAGATCTTAGGGTGATAAACCTATATTTCAAGTTTCATTGAAATCGGATAAAAATTGTGACCTGTAGACTGTTCACAAACAATTGTGGACGGACGGACGGACGGACAGACAGGGGTGACGACAATATACGTCCACATGAAAATGTGGGCGTATAAAAATGAAATAAGTGTGAATGCAGACAGAGATACATTATACTGACAGACGCATAAAACGAATATGGGACGGTTGAATGGCAGGGCGGTGCACATCTTCCTTGGGGTTTGTTGGTGAGTGTGGGGCCTGGGCTTTTCTTCCTTCCATTTCATCTTCTAGTCCGGTATGGTGGTAGGTTTCATCTTTGCTTGCTTCTGTTTGTTCTTTCTTTTCTTATTGGTTCTCTGAAGGAAGAATCCAGCACCTGAAAAGAAAGATAAGTTGCCAGGCAACAAATCAGCAGCTAAATCGTCCGTGCGGTCGACAGAGTTGTCGCATATTTATTCCTTTGTAGGTAATTGGGGGCCTTTACAAGACAGTTCCATTACAGATCAGATTATAAATTTTGTCGTTTGAGGGTTTACAAGGTTCTACAAACTGAAACAAGGGTCTCAACTCTGGAAGTAATCTACAGAAATTGTTGAAATTTGACAGGCTTTTTCGTTTTACTAATTTAAATAATGCATATAAATTTCATACAGATCACATGAGCACTTTTGATCATTCAAACGTTCACAATCGCCATAATTCTAGAAATTATTGACGGAAATTGCTGAAATTCAATAGACCTCCATTTCACAAATTTAAATGATGCATATAAATTTCATACATATTGGATGATAACTTTCATCAATCGAGCATTAACAAGGTTTAACAAAGTGAAACAAGGGCAATAACTCTAGAAGTAATTAGTGTAAATTGCTGAAATTCAATAGGCTTTTTCGTTTCACTAATTTAAATCATGCATATAAATTTCACAAAGATCGGGTCATAACTTTTGGCGTAATAAACGGAAATTGCTGAAATGCAATAGGATTCTTCGTTTCACTAATCTAAATAATGCATATAAATTTCAGAAAGATCGGATGATAACTTTTGACGTTAAGAGCGTTGACAAGGATCAATAAAGTGAAACAAGGGCCATAACTCAAGACGTAATAAACGGAAATTGCTGAAATTCAATAGGCTTCTTCGTTTCAGTAATCTAAATAATGCATATAAGTTTCAGAAAGATCGTATGATAACTTTTGGTGTTAGAGCGTTCACAAGGTTCAATAAAGTGAAACAAGGGCCATAACTCTAGAAGTAATAAACAGAAATTGTTGAAATTCAATAGGCTTCTTCGTTTCACTAACTTAAATATTGCATATAAATTCCAGAAAGATCGTATGTTAACTTTTGGCATTAGAGCGTTCACAAGGTTCAACAAAGTGAAACAGGGGCGATAAATCTAGACGTAATAAACGTAAATTATTGAAATTAAATAGGCTTCTTCATCTCACTAATGTTAACAACATATATCAATTTTAAAACAATTGGAAGATAACTTTTGGCATTAGAGCGTTCACAAGAAATTGTGTTTATGGCAGTAGTTTCGTTCAAAAGATGTGAATTTGTTAGTAGGTGTTAGTGACATTACAATTTACATATAGAATATATGATTTGATCTACAATCAATGTTTATTTATTTTAAATAGAAATAGAGGTAAAGTTAAATATAACTGAAAAATAATCAAGGTTAAAAAATGATAATATTTGGACAGGGTGTGTTACGTTTCCCTCTGTGGGGACATTCTTACCTTTTAACCCTGTCAAGTTGTTTTAGTAGTGCAAGGCGGTTGGCATTTCTCTCTAGGAGACATTTTTGCGCCTTGCCTTGCTATGTGTTATTTTAAATTGATTAGTTCATTTGTTTAATTTGGTTTAGTGGTGCAAGGCGGTTGGCGTTACCCTCTAGGGGACATTTTTGCGTGCCACCTTGCTGGTTCGTTACCTAGCTTTGTTTTCGTTTATCATTATATGAATTTTTCCATACCTATACTTTTTATAAAGTTCCAGATAAGATGGGAGGTCCAGTATCTGTCATCTGGGTGTGGCGAAAGGAGAGAATTGAGACAGAAGGTTCTGTCCCTCTTTGTTAGATTGTCAATCATTGATTGTCGTTTGTTAACTGATTGCAATCTATTAGTAAGTGAGAGGCGGTTGCGATACGTCCACACGGGCATTTGATTGGTGTATAGGTGTAGTCTTTGACTACCTCTATTGTTTTGAGCCTCGTGATGAGCTTGCATATTTTGATTAAAGGATGATTGATGTAAACCTTGTCTACAAGATTGCTATCTATTTGATAGCGATGGGTGTTTTCTTGTTTAAAAGACGTGTTTTCCATGCCCTTTTTATCTTCTCTTTTGCTATGCCTGCAAATTCCCGACTGCTATATTCTAAATTTTCTAGTTCATTTAGTGACAACCCCTCCTTGGCTAGTTTGTTGGCTTGTTCATTGCCAAAAATATTGACGTGGGAGGGGATCCATGCAAGGACTACTTCCCTTCCACTATTCTTAATTTTTTGATTAAGGTCCCTAACTTGATGGATTATGTCCTGCCGGCTTTTGGAGGAGTTTGATTCTATGGATTTGATGCTACTCAAAGAGTCAAACAGTATTATGGCTTTTTGGTGTGCTTGCGTAGCTAGCCATTCCATTGCAGTTTTAATGGCCATCAGTTCTGCGGTGTACACAGAACAATGTTCTGGTAGCCTTTTCCTGATATTCAGCTTTGCTTTGGGTATGTACAAGTCATATCTTGTTGCCCCCTGTGTAGTTTTTTGGGATCCATCTGTGTAGATTTTTAGATTATCTGTCCATTTGGTGTCTATTAATTCTACTGCTAGTGCTCTAGCCTCTATGGGATTGGCGTGTTTATTTGTGACGTCACTTAAGTGCGTGTTGATAATTGGATCACTTAATTGCCAAGGTGGTGTGTCGGGGAAGGTTTTTGTCTCGATAATGGTTTCTTTCAAATTGTGCTTATTTAAGATATCGTTTGACATTTGCCCAAATGTCATGGGCCGGGTGTTTTTCCTGAAGCCTATCCGTTTTAATTGTTTGAGACACTTATATGTCGGGCATCTTTCTTTTAGCATTTGGACACAGATCACCAAATATTCCTACGCCGTCACCCACGAAACAAGGGCTAAAGCTATTTTTAGTCTTCCTCTCCCTTTTCCTTTTTCCCCCTTTTGCATGGCGATTTTTGTTGGTGTAGAATTGAGGAAAAGGGTTTGAAAATACATTTTCTGCCAGGTTTTGGTGAATATTCATAATTTTGATGCGGAAGGATACAAGAGTTGAGAGGTTGGTTACGTTGAAATGTAGGGCCTGAAATTGCATGTTTACTTGTCTCTACTTCCAGCTTGTGTATCTCAAGTTTTTCATGAAGAACCTCATACGTGCTTTTGGGCAAGTGGTTGCCACATGTTGCTCCATCTGTGGTAGAAAGCGTTCTACCCAACGAAAATTTGGGAAAAAGTTAGAGCCGGTCTAAGATACGAGAATTAACATTGGAGTCAATGGGGAAATCTTTAGTGATCTGTGTCCTGTCTGTGTGTGATAAGGCTGTCACTGATATGCCTTAGTTTTGAAAATATGAAGATTAAATTCTCAGAAAATATGAATAAAATAGTTTGGCTACAGAAAAACTAAAAAAAGTTAATTAAAAAAAAAAAAAATCAAAGTTTTGAAGAAAAATTGTGATTTTACTGCAAATTTCTCAATTTTCAATTTTTATTGAATTTTTAACAGTAAGTAAAATATTCTAATGCCCAATGTTGGCTTATTCAGTCTCAGAAAGCACAGATAAAATGAACAGTATTGAAATTTCACCAAATTTTGTCTAAAAATCAGGAATATTCACAAAAAATCTTGAGATTCCCCCCATTTGGATGTAGATATTAATATTTTCATGACTACTAAAATGAGTCAAAATGTCTAAAAATGCCCATATTTTCTTTGCTAATATAACTTAGATGGGATCTACATGTTTGTCAGGTTTAGAAATAGCTCCAGCTTTCCTACAGAAAATTGAAAATTGGTAACACTGAGTTAATAATGTACAGCAGATGGGTTTGTACAAAATGTTCAAAACAGGGGTTGGCTCAATTTTGCCACTATTTTACCCAGAATAAGCATTTTTTTCTTCTTTGAAACATTAAATTCTTGCATTTCCTTCATGTAGGAAGCAATATCCCAGCCTTTCTAGACATTTTTTACTCCATCATTCTGTTTAGAGAGGCAATAAATGCCCCACCCCACCCTTTTCTATTAATGTGTTTTGAGGGATTTAAATGCACCTGTGTTGACATGTAAATGATCTTAATTGGAATTTGTGGTTGAATTACAGCTAAGAATGTTATTTTTCACCCAAAAATATTTTTTGTGTGCATTTCAAGGATTTCTAACCCTTATTTGTTCAGAGTCAAACGTAGAACCCTGAGGCACTTCAGGCCAATGAGACCAGACCCAGATATAAAACTGGTGTAGATGTGTAAATGTCAGTTTAATGTTCAATATTTTCTTGTCAAAATCCAGCATTTGTGGTGTTTGCTGCATTTATGTTACCTATAAAACAATAAAATGTTAATTTTTCTCCTTTTCAGGCCTCTTTTTATGTTGTCAAGTACGTCATGACTACTTTTTTAACTTCATTTTTTCAGGAAATTAATGTAAAGTTCCAGACATCTTGCTTCAGCACAAGGATTGCAATACAAATTTGTAACATGCCTCTGAGGTTTGAGATGTTGGAAACATTGAAATATTCCCAAATTTGTGAAAATTGTGTATTCTGTGACCCTTCTGTTAGAGAGGGGTGATCATAGACCAAATATGGCATTTTTTTCATTCATCAAGGCCTATTTTTAACCATAATTCATATTTATTGCACCTATTTTAGTTTATATGTCCATATGTTAGCCAGGGATGGTAAAACATAGCTGTTAGACAGATTCCTTTGGTAATGTAAGTTCTGCAACCATAGATTAGATTAATTCAATCAGTGGCATGTTCAGGGGGTAGGCATACATGTTTCAGTATAGATCTCTAATATTACAACCATTGCAACTGGTTTGCATTTTTTCTGTTTGCATATTGTCCACAGATTCTAAAAATATATTTCTTGTCCGTCCGGATATTTAAAAAAGTGGAAAATTATTGGTATTTTGAGAGATGCTACATGTAAATTTTGTACATTTTTCATCACATGGCAGTAAAAAATTATATTTTTGAAAAAAATTCCAAATTATGAGTGTTTTGTATGTAGTTTCTTTGTTACTTGTCTAATTTTTTCACAGAACTCAGATACTGCCTTTAATAAGAAAGATTTTTAAATTTTAGCACAAAAGGCCTATGGACCTGAGATGCACCAGTGT